TTTTTTTTTTTTTTTTTTTTTGGTTATTGGAAATTCACGTTACTTTCATCAAAGCCACCAGAGTAGGGAATCACTAGAATGAATATAGTATCGCATTATAAGAAAGAGAAGAATCAATCTTAGATTGTATCAATCAAACTGGGATAAAAATTTTGGCCATTGAGGTCCTATTCTTATGGCTGGTTGAAAAGGGTTCCTAGTGATGCTTGGTTTCTTGTGAGATCTTTGGGGTGAGTGGACTAACAAAGTGTTTTGAGGGTTGGAAAGTGTTCCTAGTGATGCTTGGTTTCTTGTGAGATCTTTGGGGTGAGTGGACTAACAAAGTGTTTTGAGGGCTGGAAAGGGTTCCTAGTGATGCTTGGTTTCCTGTTAGATTTCATGTTTCTCTTTGGGGTTCGATTCAAAGATCCTTACAAAAGTCCGTAGACACTATTTTGTATGGCTAGAGCTTCTTTCTCTAGTTGGGCTTCTTTTTATGGGCTTACTTTTAAGTATCCTTTCTTTCATTTTTTTCCCTCAAAAACGGCAATGCTTCCCCAAGGGGACAGAATTCATGTGCAGCTGAAGGTTCCTTGGAGTTGTCTGGTTACTGCTTTTTAGGAGCAGGTTAGTTAATGTATTTGAGTAGGGTTTGAAACCCAGTGTTGGCTACGTTTGCTAGGGGTGAGCTGGTTGGGCCAAAACCTGGTGCTAGATATGTGTTTGGGAATTAGACAATGAAACGCCATGGCTAGGGTGAGCTGGTTGGGTCAAAACCTGGTGGTTGATATGTGTTTGGGAATTAGACAATGAAACGCCATGGCTAGGGGTGAGCTGGTTGGGCCATCCTATCAATTTTATTTACACAACCTATGGTTGACAAGCTAGATGGTGTACCTAGATAATAAAAATAGGTGAGGAGACCAAACTTGTGAGATCCCACACTGGTTGGAGAGGGGAACGGGTGTAGAAACTTCTCTCTAGCAACCGTGTTTTAAAAACCTTGAGGGAATGAGCCTGATTTCGTCCAGAGAGGGCAATATCTGCTAGCGGTGGGTTTGAGTTGTTATAAATGGTATTAGAGTCCGACACCGAGCAATGTGTCAGCGAGAAGGCTGAGCCTCGTAGGGGGTGTACACGAGGTGATGTTCCACATCGATTGGAGAAGGGAATGATTATCAGTGAGGACGCTAGGTCCCGAAGGGGGGTGGATTGTGAGATCCCACATTAGTTGGAGAGGGGAATAAAATACTCTTTATAAGGGTACAGACGCATTTTAAAAGCCTTGAGGGGAAGCCCGAAAAGGAAAGTCTAAAGAGGAGAATATCTGCTAGTGGTGGGCTTGGGTGTTACAGAACTCATTCAATTCAAAATATACTCATTCAATTCAAAATATTCTGGATGAAGGAATACGAAGTGCCAATGTGCTTAAAATTTGGTATGATTGGAAAAAATAGGTTAACTTGGAGTCTTTTTCGGTCTATCTTGATCGCCCGTCATCGGACATGGAAGTAGAATCATAATATAACACCGTCTTCCCCTTTCCGTGATACATATTTACAACGAAACAGGTTTGTACGATTCAAAATGTATGCCGAGCAGTTCATGTCTATTTTATACAACAGAAGTGCGTTTTATTTATTATGTCCTCCAATGACTGTAATTGATTGCTGGTGCAGCTGGAGGAACTTCGTGCAGACATTGTTGACTTGAAGGAGATGTACAGAGAACAAGTAAACTTGCTTGTGAACAAGGTATTTAGTTTTTGCATAGTTTGCTATACGAAAGGTTTTATTGTTCCTAATCTTCTCCACTCTCTTGCAGATTCAGACGAGTTCATCAATGGGTACAGCATGAGAAGTGATTTTGTATAGCACAACAGAGCTATGCGAGTGGTTAAAAACAGGGCCATTGTGATCGAGACGGGGAGTATTAAGATTTTGTGCATGTACCGAACAGTATATACTTGAACCGAAACTGAAATCTTTTTGAACGTGTTACATAATTCCCAACCGCATTGTAATTTTACAGTATACCTTCATTTTTAGTGTACTTATTACAGTATACAGTGATGGTTTCAAAGCTTGAATAAGATCCAATATATTTGACTTATGAATTAGAATCAGATCAAGTACAATCGAATCTTGAAGATAATTTGACCTATGAACATTGTTGTTCTAGTAAAGATGATGAATTTTTAAGATTGTCTATGGAATTTAAAATAGTGTTGAGTAGATTTCTATCATTTTATCCTTTATTATTATTATTATTATTTTTTTTTGTTGCTGGAGTACGGTAGGGGCAGAGGGAATTTCCGGTGGAGCGGTGAAATCCCTCACGATAGGCCCTCCCAGCTGCCGAACGTCTTTAACAATTGAAGGGTTTGTGTAATATCACAATGCCGGCTACAATAGGATAGATAAAAAACGATCAATACGCAATTATGACTTCATTTTCATTCCCAAATAGATTTGATGCATAGTACACTTTTACACATGGACCTATTTTTTTTTTTGTAAGCTTAGGCCTGCATATGGGCTTGTGTACTTTTACTCTGTCCCATCACGAAAAGAAATAGAATTTGACTCACTCATTGGTAGTTAATAATCTGTACTAGCGATTGTGCGGCACTCACTTTTTAACGACAAGTGAGCTAAGCCAATTTGTTCTTACGTCGCTTTTTTCAACGACAAGTGAGCTAAGCCAATTTGTTCTTGCGTCGCCTACGGCCAAGCGACGTATGATCGAGCCTTTAGCCTCGGTTTTAAAAGAAGGTTTTAGAAAACGAGGGCAGAGAGAGAGATTTTAGAAAGAGACATTATATAACCAAGCAAGAGAGATAACAAAGGTAGGGGGATAGAGAGTTAGAATACAAGTCTAAGCTAAATAAATCAATCAATAGTCTTGGTCCTATTGAAAGTGAAGGATCAATTATCAATAATATGAATAAAAACATTTCTGAAGCTAACAGAGATAACATGCATCAATCACCTGAAGAATAGATCACAAGAATTCATCCTCCTTTCTAACATAGGAGAAAGTATATAAAACAACATTATTTGGTAATTTCTTACATCATGCATAACGTACTCATCCATATTACCCAACTTGTATTTAGTAAGACATATTCTCTTTCTAGCTTAGCATAATACATAATACATCACACTTTTCGAAAATCTCAACTTAGGGGCATAATAGTGATTTTAAAATAACATATGGTACATACTCCAAAAAAAATGCGCTTCAGAAGTCCATAATATGCATTTCTAACCATCTAAGATAACGAATGCGTGCATGCTAGCACGTCATAGCGATCCCTACAAGTATTACTTGCCTAAAATCCAAGTTGTTACTTGAATAACGTCTAGCTTCGCTAGCAAGCTTCTTTACGTGTTAGGAGCTCTAAAATTTTTGAAATCTCTCTCTCGCGTGCTATCATCTGCGCACTCGACTCCATCAAAATTTCCATATTTTCAAATAAGTTTTCGATTCTTTTCTATTTTCTTTAACTTTTAATAACTTTCTTTACACAACTTCAATTAATTTAGTTTCTTCATGAAAAATATAACTTTTGATCTATCTTTACTAAAGTGTTTTTCTCATAATTTTTAGTCCATAGAACAAGAAAATCATAACTTGAAAAACCCTAAATCATAACTTCCGTTTTTCTTCGACAAGATTGAGTGATTCAAAAGTCTAAAATGGTTCTCTCAACGCCCCTAAGCAATTCTTGCGTTATGTGCAATTTCGATTCCAACCGGCTTTTTGGAGCAGATTTCAACCTTTTCTCTCTAACTCTTATCTCAAAAACCCTAAATCCCCATTTCCTTTTCTTTGTTTCTTTCTTTTCCTTGATGGCCACCTAATTAAGACTAATTCAAACCCCTAATTAAAAAAGGGGTCAGAATCACCGATTTACCCGATTTTCTCAACCAGCTTTTTGAATGAGTTGAGTGTTAAGAATCACGACCCTTCACAATGGTATGATATTGTTCTAAGATAAGCTCTTCTGACTTTGCTTTTGGTTTCCTCAAAAGACCTCATACCAATGAAGATGTATTCCTTTCTTATAAACCTGTTATCATTCCCTAAATTAGACAATGTGGAACTCTCTCATAACAATCCTCCTCTCGAACAAAGTATACTATAGAACCTCCCTTGAGGCTATGGAGCCCTCGAACAAAGTACACCCTTTGTTCCACACTTGAATATTCTATTGATTCTGATACCATGTCAAGAATAACAACTTTCCACACTGGTATAATATTGTCCACTTTCCGCATAAGTTTTCATGACTTTGCTCTTGATTTCCAAAAAAAAAAAAACCTCATACCCATGATCATTTCTTAAATTAGCCAAGGTGGGATTCCCTCCCAACACGAAGTGTCATAGTCATACATATTCAATTGTGTGGTGTCGTGATCTTGACACGCTCAAGACAAGTCTTGAGGGGAACCTAAATCCTATATATGTAAATCATGTTAAACATGCTTGTACTATAACTGCAAAACTCTGTGATGGAAAATTTTGAATAAGTTGAAAGTTATTGTCGTATACTTTTAACCGTGCAGCGTTGTGATCTTGACATATTCATAATATATGAATAAACTTCCAAGTTCCATATGCATAAACCACGTTAATCATGCTTGTACTATAACTCAAAAATGGTGTGGGGAAAAATTGAACGGAGAAGGAGAAGACAAGCTATGGGTTTGGCTTGAAACAGAATGTGTCTTGTCTTAATTATTTTGTCGGAAAATTATTGGGGGAATTATTTTTTAATTTGGAGCAATGAATTAAAAAGAATACATTACTATTTTTTTTTAATTATTTTAAAGAGTGAATTGATAATAAAATAATATAGGAAATAATGTAACACACAAATATGGAAACTTATCTAATGAAAAATAACTAATTAATTGCTTAAAGTAAATCACAATTATTATATTAAAAAAATAATAATATAGGAGAACAAAATAGAGTTGGATGATCTATATATATGTTAGGCTATTTCTCCTAAGAATTACTTCAATAAATCAACCAACAAATTCTTTATTATACTTTGTCAATGGCTCTTCATCAACTTCTTACTCCTTTTATGATGAATCCTTCCATCGAGTCTATTCTGATGTTTATCCTTCATGTTAAAGTAAACGTATTTGCGAAAATATCAAATCAAACCGCTGTACGACGATCTGAAAATTATAAACCTCCTGTTTGGAAACATGAATTCATTGAAGCATTAAATAGTGAATTCAATGTATGAATTATAGATATCTTTAAATGGTTTATTTCCTTTATTTATTTATGCTTAATTTTGAAAAGAGTTGATAGGGAGAAATGTGTGTTCAACGTTTCGATGAATTAAAGGAAGAGGTTGGTATGATCATGAACCAAATGATAGACGATCCTTTAAAGCAACTCGAGCTCATTGATACTTTACAACGACTTGGAATCTCATATCATTTTCAAAAGGAGATTAAAGATATATTGAAAAGAACATATGAGAAGAGTTGTGAAAGTGATGATTGGAAAAAGAATAATTTTTATGCAACATCACTTGAATTTAGACTCTTTAGACAACATGGATTCAATATTTCACAAGGTATTCACTTTCTTTAAAAACGAAGTATTATTTGTTATGAAATGTTTTAGGATTATACTTTGAAAATTTTAGCAACAGAGGTTTTCAATAACTTCAAGGATTTAAATGAAATGTTATCGTTGTATGAAGTTTTATTCCTATGTATAGAAGGTGAGAACATTTTAGAAACAGCAAAACATTTTACAATAAACTATTTGGAAAAGTACATGAGATCGTGCAAGGATGAATATGAAGCATCTATTATTAGACATTCGTTGGAGCTTCCCTTACATTGGCAAATATTCAAGATTGGAGGCAAGATGGTTCATTGATATGTATGAGAGAAAAGTAGATATCAACCCTATTCTTCTCGAAATTGCTAAATTAGATTTTAATCGAGTTCAATCTATCCACCCAGAAGATCTTAAATATGCATCAAGGTATGACTATGGTAAACATATTTAGAGTTTGTGGTGTTTTTTTCTCCCAACTTTGTTTGAAATCACCCCTTTACTTTTTCTTTAGAAAAATAGGATACTTTTATATTTTTAATTAGAAAAAAGATATTTTAATCCGATTAGGTCGGAGTAAATTACATTAATCTTTCGCTAACTTAACACACATTCTTTTATACACGAATTAGGTGGTGGAGGAGTACTGGATTCGGGGAACAGTTAAGCTGATGGGTATTGGATTTGAACTAGAGCTCTCATATTTTAGAAGAATGTCTACAAAAATTGTTGCATTATCAACAATAATAGATGATGTTTATGATGTCTATAGCACATTAGATAAACTCGAGCTCTTTACCGAAGCTGTAAAAAGGTTAGCAATCAATAAATATATTTTTTGTTTACCAAATCATTAATTTACATGATTCTAAAGAAAATATTTTTTTTTTTTTGTTCTCTAAACATTCCTAAAATAACAATTTAGTTCATAAATTTTAATGGAAAATAATTTAGTTATTAAAATATATAATGGTTGTGAATAAATCTCAAAGTATATAAATATTTAACTCTCTTCTAAATTATAATTTTAAGTGGAACGTTGATGCAATGGACCAGCTTCTCGACTATATGAAAATACGTTATCTTGGTCTCCACAATTCTATAAATAAGATGACTTTTGATGCACTAAGAGGCAAAGGAATTAACGTGAGCCAATACCTTAAAAAAATGGTATGAATTTGATTATAATATACTTTTCTAACTTCACATTTGATTAATTAGGAGAAAAATTATTATGTAATTTACTTTCTAACAAATTTAATATTTGCAAAGCTCTTTTGTTGGAGGCTAAATGGTATCACTCCAGCTATAAACTAACATTGGAAGAACATCTAGACAATGTGTGGATTTCAATAGGGGACCAGTAATGTTAGTAAATCCATATGTTTTTATGACATCTTCAAAGCTCGAATACATGAAGAGCTTGAAACAACATGATATAATTTGATGGTCTTTTGCAATTTTGCGACTTGCTGATGATCTAGGAACATCAACGGTATAAAAACAATGTCTTATTATCTTTTT